CTTCCAGTAAAGCCAATCGACAGCTGGTCAAGAGGAATCCGCCGTCGTCTTCTGGTGGAACGGACCATCGCCTTCACCCAACACTTCCACTCGAAATGGAAGTAAGCTCAACAATTATGAAACAAGAGATTCCTCGAAACTTAACTTTTATTCGTAGAAAGAAGAGTGATAGTATAACCGTTTTCTGCAGAAACTTTGTCGAGGGATTGAATTCACGTGTCTCTGACGCGTTCGTAGCTTGTTGCGGAGACTATCAAAGCTCATTGTTGATGCCGACTACGATACCGGCGAAACGTTTGCGGAGGTACCAAGTCCACTGTCGGATGCTGGTTATCATGACAACTACCATGGCAGATGACTTCAGACTAGGTGCGTTCTATTAAGTCGCCTTGAAAACTAGACAAAGTTGCGACAACGAGGTCAACCGACTTCTACTGTACGATCCTCTAATATTTAATTATTTTTCGGCCTATTTAATTGTATTTTGTGTGCATGTAATGTTCTTGTCATAGGAAATGTGATAGTCCGAGCTAATCTCGAGGCTAATCCACCCTCTTGTTTAGTGAGTCTTTCTGTATTCTCTCTCCCTCTCCTTAAGTCTATTTAACAGCCACAAATACTTCCTACTCAGTTTTCTACACTCGTTTCTCCTATTGACAAAGTTGGCTGTTTTGCTAATTTCTATAGACTCCCTAATCTTACCCTTTGATGTGACGTCTGCGTAACCCTTAATCATAACTTCGGACTAATCTATTGAGTGTCTTGTATTAGCCATGTGTTTAGCAAACTCATATTTTGGGACCCATAGACTTTTACAGGCATTTTTGTGTTGGCATAGTCTACTGGATTGATCGGCAAGTCTCCTCCACATAGACCTTACAACATGAGCACAAAACCTTATAGCAGCCTCATATAAAAAGTAGAAACTACTGGATAAAGTGTTAATTTGTCTTTATACATTGTTTTTATTTTCCACTTCCTCAGTAGATCACCCAACTTTCTCGCAAGCTGACAGCAAGTCAAAATCAGGAAACTATTAGAATGGTCTATTTGTCTATCCTTCCCCAGATAGCAAGCTCCCGTTCCCCTTATCCTAATGTGTAATTGTTTTGAAACAATATAGTACGTCTACTAGACGCAGACTCCTTATTCCCGTAGAGATAATAACTGCTATTTTAACCCTACATGTTAATAGAAGGTATGCAGACCAGGATTTCGTGGCATTTGTATGGTCGCGATGTCGTTTCGTTGTAAAGAAGTTGTATCGACATTTATAATATCTATTAGCTCAAGGAATTCTCCCAAACTATCTTTGTTCTTTTGCGAAACAGCAAAGTAATCATCCATATAACGAACTAATAACTGTGGAGGTAGAGGTGCCTCTTGAAACACACCAACTTCTAAATGAGCCATGTAGTTATTAGCTAAACTAGGGGCTAACAGATATCCCATAGCTTAGCCCCGTGTATGTTTATCATTGAAGATAAAATATTTATTATACATTGCCAAATTGTTTAATCTAATGATAACTTTACCTGATATAATTTCAGAGTATTTATCTAAAGTTTATTCGAATGCCTTCATTGCCTCATTTATCGCAATCTTAATATACATAGACACTACATCATCAACTAACCCACTAAAATTACAAGAGTTCCTTACTGAAAACTTTTAAGTTTCGGACATTTGTTTTAGCTGAGTACATATAAATCGTGATGTTTTAGGCATCACGCTACCTCTATTATTTACAATAACCATAGTTGGGGTACCTTGCTTATGATTGGTCCAAAACACAACGTTTTGCGGGTTACCGGGACTTCACATTAAAGCGTAAGATCAGGGAGTCTATAGGAATTAACAAAACAGCCAACGTCCTAAGCACGATGAACGAGTGTAGCAAACTAAATAGCAAGTATTTATGGCTGTTGGATAGACTTAAGGAGAGGGAGAGAGGGAGTGCAAGAAGAGTTACAACACAAGAGTAGGATACTGGATTAATCTCAAGTCTAACTCGGACTACCACACTTTTCATGACAGAGTGTTGGGAGATTTGCTTTACCAAATCTCCCCATATATCTTTTACTATCTATACGCACCCACAATTTCAACTATTTGGATTACTGTAACTGATTATTAGGGCATATACTCTTCGTTAAACTATGGTTAATAAAAGTGGTCTGATCCTACACTGCGAAAGGGGACTGCGACCAAAACACAGGCCATAGCATCCTGGTTTTTATATCTATGAATAATTACTATTTTAATTTTTCATAACATCTCACTGAAATCTTCCATTAAACTTGGCGAAGTTAGACAAAGTCTAGGCTAAGTCCATAAACCGTAAGATGCTCGTGATAAAAGTGCTTTCATGCTCTTTATAAGCCTTAGTTTTTCTTCCTAACAGCACTTAGCTTAAGCCTATTTTATTATTTTGAGGCTTATTTCGGTTTGTTTTTTCCCGCAATTGTATCTCGCTTACAACTATGTACTTGGCACAACTATGTTCTTGATTGATTGTATACCTGAAGCTAAGTTAATATATGGCTCCGAATTAGATCTTGTTTTCCTTTTCAAATCCCTACACTTTTTTTAGCTATTCAGATATTCTGAAGGAATTATTTTGAATGGCCATATCTACTACTAATATTTAAGCAGTTTTCAGCCTGTAAACAATATTTGCTTTATGCTTACACTGAACTCTCTTTTGCACTGCCAGATCAACATATTCTCCCACAAGGATAATGTCATCAAGATTGCCCTATTTAAGTCTTTTAAACCATTAAATTGCCATATGTACTATATCTTTATGCCTCCCCTCTTCACAAGCAAAAAAATGAATCCCCCAATGAACAGCAATTCCCCGATAGTATTACCACACTTTTTGAACTTTTCACATTAAGACAAAGGTACCAATTAAACAGGTTTCATAGGCATAAATCATTTGCTGTTTGACATGGTTGGCAGCACTTCGTAAACCTCTTTTTGCCTCAACTTTAGGTATCGAAATAATATGTATATTTTTTTACGTAAAATACCTCATAAAAATACACATTGTGAAATTATTGGACTGTCTTTTTTTAGTGATCTACATAAGCCAAGATAATTGAATCTTTATCTACTCGTTTTTCCACGCAGTAGGCCTATTTCCTTATCTACCTTTAACCCACGAAAACAGTGCAAATGTCAGTCCTCAATCTTCCAATCAGTTAAAATTTTTTTTTTCATTTATATAATGTAATTCATTCATTTTTCATTATTATTGTGATTTATCAGTCTAAACGGAGTCGTAGCAGTCGCGGTGCCAGTCTAGACGCTGCCCGATCCCAAAGTCCCTCTTGTCCACCTCCCAGTAGTCATAATTTTTCACTTAGACCTACTGGTCGAGGGCGTAGACAACGCCGCGACTCGAATACTAACACTGAAAGCTGCCATCGGCAACACCGACTAAGTAGGCTGGTGCTTGACAAGGGTGAGGACGAAACTCATAAGGAGGAAGGTGTAAAGCATCCCGGTGGCGAGTATGAGA